GTGTAGTGCCCTCATAACTAGCCCCTCTCATAGCCACTCTACAATATCTTACCATAAGAGAATCCAACTTCTTACATAACCCCTCCGTCACCAAGTAAGCCTCCAAATTCTGAACCCCCGCGTTCTGGACACCCAACAAGACCGAGCGTTTCAGCCGAAACGAAATGCCAGGAGTCGACCAGAATCTTCCCAACGAATGAAACGAACTTTTTATCGCGTTCAGGCGCTTGTTAACCTCTGGAGTGATCGAGCCCATGGAATGAATCTCCCCGCCCAGTACCCTCATAGACGGACTGACTCCTCCTTCAAACAGTTCAGACGCAGAGGCTCGCAATCGACGATTCGCAGCGACAGAGCCCTGGCCAGAGAGACAGACGATGGTGTTCTGCTTGCTCCTGTTCTGCGCCCATCCCCCTATCTTCAGAACCTCATCCAAGACTTGATTGGAGTAAAAGTTGGCGGCAGAAAGCTCTGCCAAGCCCGCGTCACCACACGAGGCCTCAGGACCACCGCCTACGTGCAGCTTCGTGAGACCGTCGGCATACTTAGTCAGAGACAAATCTACAACCATGCCTGTAATCGGACAAGTGGCTGCAAGAAGCGCCTCCGAAGGCATCTGGGCATACAACACCTCACTCCATTCGCATACAGGAATCTCATAGGCTCTGCCAAAGCTCTCCACCGCGTAAGGATCACCCATGAGAGCTCCGCATCTAGGCTTTACAACAAGTGTACGAGCACGGGCAGGAAGACATATCGAAGCCGATTCGAATCGGTCGCGTCCAAACTGACGGTCAGGAAAATCTAAAAGAGCAGAGTTCGCTTCCTCCAGGAGACTCCAAGACGTACTCGGGAAAGCGTTGCTAAGGTCCTTGTTTGACCACGTAAAACTGTACCCTCCCCGTCGCAAACGATGAGAAACCAACATCATCACCAGCATGGCCCCCTCCTTACGCCTCCCCTTGCAGAACCCATAGTCGTTGGGACCTAGCGCAACTGGATTGTTCCTACGAATGGCCCCAGCTAACCAAGCCTTGCCCAGCGGGTCCAGCAGGTGGATGACTCGTTTCCCCTTGGGGCCAGGGGTGGCACTCTTCGGTAAGGCGCAGCCAAAACTCCTATTCCACAAGGCAGGGAACCTGTTCGCAAGACGGATACACTGCAAACCACGAGTTAGTGCCTCCTGCAGCGGTTCAGGTTGAAACTCGACGGAGTATCCAACTCCTGAGAAACTCTTAGAAAGTCCAAAAACAGGGTCCGCGATCATGCCCCAGATCTCTGCTGGTACACTCCACGGCGGGCACGATCGGCGTTTGGGTGCATGACGCAAATACTTAGTAATAGATAACATATCCGTAGTAGCCTCCACATTGAACATGCCCAGGTACCCGTTCACCCCCTCCTCCAGCTCCTCCCCCTCCTGGTTGATCTCGATAACCTGCATGCCTCCCTGTGGTCCCTCCTTCTCCCAGACCTCAAGCCACTCCTTAGCACTTAGTGAAGCACCCTCAAGATGGCGATAACTGCGACCACGGGGTCCACGACCCTTGCAGGCGAGAACTCGGATCAAGCGATGGGCTTCTTTGTGATTTCTCTTCCGCCAAGCCTCCTCCAACTCCTCCGTAATGTTCTCCCTCCACTCCTTGAACTGCTGTTTCCTCTGCTGCTGACACTGCTTGCTAATAACTTTGAGCTGCTGAACCACTTCCTCCTCCTCCTCATCGCAACCAGCTCGGGCGAGGCGACGGCGAATCTCCAATCGCCTTTGCAGAAGAGCCTTGCGCTCCCTGGCCTGCACGCGGTAGGCCTCGGACGCGTTGGGCAACGATCCACAGAAAAATAAACTAGCCTGCTCGCGCACAAGATCATTCAAGATAGCAAAATACGCATCTGGCTTTCCAGCCGTAGCCGCCGAGGACAGCTCGGGCTCACGTTCTTGCAACTTGGCATTCGCCCGAATGAGGAAGTTCTCGCGCACCGAGGCATTCTTCATGGTGTCAAAGTTCCAATAAAGACGGTTCCTCCCCAGCTGCTCGGGCTCAACAAAAGACCACTTCAGATTACAATGCAGCGGTATGTGGTCACGCGGATGACGGGAGGGTATACGTTGATGCTGCCTCATGACCCTCATCAGCGGACCAGCTGTGTTAATCAGGTTCTGGGCGACGACTGGACCGAAGATGTAGTCCACCCTGCTGGAAATACCGTCCTGGCCGAACCACGTGTCCTCCACTCGGTCGCGCACCCCCAGCACCACAAAACCGAACTCCTCCATCAATTCTCGTACTAACTGACCAGCCCCTCCCACAAGATTCTCACGAGTGGCCAGGTGCGATGGAATAACAGTAGTGTCGTAGCTCTGCCACCTTCCTTCAGAACAAACAATGCCAATGCCGTCGTTCAAATCCATACTTATCAATGGCATGGTACGTGATGATCGAGCTATGTCAACTAAGAGACCGCGGAGCCACGAGACCAGCCTGTTCGTCGCAGCGAAATAATGCGGGCGGCCAGCTCGTCCCCGCGGTCGGGGAGGAAAATAAACTCCAGCCACTGTCAAATCCAAACCAGTTCGCTTCAGGCGAAGTCCAAAAGCACGGCCAGCAATCTCGGGAGGTGCTTGCCATTGCCTCACTATATGGTGCTCACGCAGCCCCGAACTGATCGTAATACTAATACCAGCCGACTTATTTGTGTACGCCCCAGGACTCCACCCAGCCTCAATGAGCAGTGTATTGTGCAGCTTGCGTTTCTGAACAGCCATTCCAGGAAGTGCCCTCACCTGCGTACCTATGAAAACGCACGCGTGGAAGCTCTTGGCGGTCGCCATGATTATTTCCTCCTGACGATCTCTAGAATTCATACTCAATGGATTCCAGTGCAGAAATCGAAGCAAAGACATCGGCTAGCCGCGGCGGCTCTCCAACCGAAACCGCCCGCTGCTCAAGATTCGGTGAACGGAGTGTGTGGGTATGAAACATATGGAAGGTGGGAAGCGAGAGAGGGTGCACTCGCGCCACCTGGAGGAGGAGGAGGAGGAGGAGGAGGAGGAGGAGGAAGAGGAGGGCAGAAGAAGGAACGAACCGAGGAAGGAAGGGGAGACGGGAAGAGAGCGGTTCCATTTCAAACCCTTTGAGGGCCGAATGCGCCCCACCCCCATCCAGTCTGGTGCTCCTCCCTCCCCCCACGGGCGAACTCGTGGGGAAAATCCGTTGGCTTTTTTCAAGCCCACCCACCCTGCGGCCGGCGCGCCTCGCGGATTCGCCAGGAATGAGGGTGGTACATTGGGTCGCCCCTCTTGTCGTGCTGCGAATGTGGATTCCGGGTGAGTTTACAAAACGCGATCGATCCCGAGGCCTCTGGAAGAGTCACGCGGGCGAGACAAGCAGCACCCGAGAGTGCCCAGGAGAGCGCAGAACAGGCCTGCGCCCGGTGAGAGCACCGCAGTATTGAACACAGAGAGCCAGTGGGACCCGAGGGCACTCCACTCAGTGCCTACGGCACGGTGCCAGATTAAGGATGAGGGATGGAGGAGCAAGAGGATGAGGAAGAGCAGGAGGCGGACGAGGAGGAGAAGCAGCAGGCGAGAGGAGGAGGACGAGGAAGAGGAGGAGGAGGAGGAGGAGGAGGAGGAGGAGGAGGAGAAGCAGCTGGCGAGACGAGGAGGAGGAGGAGGAGGAAGAGGAGGACGAGGAGGAGGAGGAGGAGGGGGGTCCTGGGATGGAGCGCGAGCGGGAGCAATGGGTGAGAGCGAGGAGGAGCAGGGTTTGGTGCGGCCTGGCCAACCCTCCACTCCTCCTCCTCTTCCTCCTCGAACTCAAACTCAAACTCACACTCCTCCTCCTCCTCCTCCTCCTCCTCCTCCTCCTCCTCCTCCTCCTCCTCCTCCTCCTCCTCCTCCTCCTCCTCCTCCTCCTCCTCCTCCTCCTCCTCCTCCTGCCCCGGACGGTGCTCCGTCGAGCGCCTCGGGGCGGGTGCGGCTGGGGCGATGGGAGCGCCCCGAGAGGCCCAATGCCGTGAGCCCCAGGGCTCTCTGGACCCCAACCGGCGGAGCCCAGGAGAAAGCCAAAGAACGCAGGCATATGGAGGAGGAGGAGGAGGAGGAGGAGGAGGAGGAGAAGGAGTAGGAGGAGTGTGTGAGTTTGGTTTGAGTTTGAGGAGGAGGAGGAGGAGGAGGAGGAGGAGGAGGAATTTGAGCTTGACTTCGAGTTTGAGGAGGAGGATGAGGAGGAGGATTGGAGGAGTGAGTGCGAGGAGGAGGAGGAGGAGGAGGAGGAGGTGGAAGAGTGTAAGGAGGAGGAGCTTGAGGGGGAGACGAACATCCAGAAAATATGAACAGATGAGAAATGCTGGAATATGTGTCTCTTTGTTTGTGTGCCCCTGGGTCCCTTCATGAGAGCCAGACGATCAGGGTACGTTCTAGGCCGAGATTACTGGCGATACGCATGGAAGTCGTAATGGGCAACCTTCCTGGCCGCGACCCTCCCTACATTTGTCTGGTCGTCCAGGTTTGGGGATATCCCCATTTTCTAATGGCTCCTGCTGGCCTCTTGATTCCTCTGGAGGCTGAGAACATCCGAACTCATGCAGAAACATCACGAAACCTCGACCATCCTCGACAAGCCTTCACCCTCGATTCTCGATCCCGAAACCCTGTCCCCCCGATACCTCGATCCCGCACCCTCGATGCTGATGCAGGAGAGGGGCGCGGCTGAATCCCCGATCCCCGCACCTCGACCCTCGATCCTGAAACTCTTCCTTACCAGAAGCATCCAGAGTACGGTGGGGGCGCGCATCAAGAAACCATCTGCTTTCCGTCAGGGTATCCTGGGTTTCTTCGCTCCGCGAGCTGCGCGGCGACTTCCCGCAGCCGCTGAAGAAGTGGCTGCGTTCAGGATGCTCTGGGTTTCCCCTCAGGTACCCCTCGCGCATGGGTTTTCAGGGTTGGATTTCTTGCGAGGGTTTCTTGCGGCCGCCCTCGCACTGTACTCCCGCCCTTAGCTGTTTTTTGGCTCAATCGAGAACGCTTCTGGCAGCCCTGGCCCTCCTCCCAAGCACCAGCGGCCCTCGAGCGCGTGCCCGGCACGGGCTCGGTCAGAAAGAGAAGCATTGGGTTGAGAGGATGCGGCTGGGAGAACTGATCAAATCTTCTGTATCAAGGTACTCTTAAGGTGCTTATCACACAGTCGTTCGGAGGCGAGCGAGGGGAGGAAGTGAGAAGGAGAAGACCTTCGCAGACGGCGGCGGGACTTCAGAAGCCCTCGCACCTTCCGAGAAGGTGTTATGTGTCTCCAGGGAAGGCCCAGAAAACTTTTCGGAAGGCCCGGAACTTCCAGGGAAGGCCCAGAAAACTTGTTCGGAAAACTTTTCGGAAGGCCCAGAAAATTTCTCGGATCGGCGCTGGGGCCCCCTGGCGGCGCATCCGGCGCCGCCCCTGGCGCGCTCCGCGTGCCAGGGGGCTCCAGCGCCGATCCGAACAGTCCGCGCGGGCCTCCGAGCTTTTCGGTTTCCGTCAGCGCCCGCTCCCCTTTGAGGAGGCCGCCCCTGCTCAGCTCACCCCGAGCATCGCCGCCGCGTCTTGCCCTGTATCTTCCCAGCCCCGGTCCTCCCAGCACGATCACTGCCGTCCTCACCCCGACGCCATGGGCGCCGAGCAGAGCACGCTGCCGGAGCCCGGCGCGGAGCAGGCCCCCCCGGCGCCCCTCCAGCCCAGAGGCTGCGGCGATGCCGCCGCCGACGCGCGCCTGCAGGTCAGAGGAGGAGATGTGCTTTCCTCCCCCCCGTCCTCCTCTTCCTCCTCCTCCTCCTCCTCCTCCTCCTCCGCCTCCTCCTCCTCCTCCTCCGCCTCCTCCTCCTCCTCCTCCTCCTCCTCCTCCTCCTCTTGATCCACTCAGCTAGCGCAGCGTTTCACCCTCCATGTCGCCTCGCTGCTTGAGACTGTGTTCCTGCCCACGGGCCGGACGGCGTGTGGCTTGTGAGTGAGTGAGTACCTGATACCCTTGCCTCGTTTCGGAAGCCTTGGGACGGGGGTCAATGCAAACGGGGTCCGCCAGAGCGCCAGATCTTGCAGGATCCTGCAGAGCCAGGGTTGCCTTGGCCCGGGCTTGCGTGTAGGATCTTGCAGGATCCTGCAGGATCTGGCAGGATCCTTCGAAGCCTGACTGACCCGGGTTTACGGGATGCTGCGGGCCCGTAGATCCCCGATCGTGGTCTCCCTTTGGAGCCTCCTGGGAGGCCTTCGCCCGCCACCGCTGGATTCGCCTCGAGATCTTGGCCGCGAGCGCACCCTTAAGGAGAGGTCCGGAGAGTAGCGGCCTTGGTATTTGCTGGTCCCGTGCATGGACAATGAGCTCGAGCCCTGCAGCGCAAGATGCCCTCCCAGGCCCCACAAAGTGATGTTGAGGGTGCAGCGCCAGAGGGGGCTTGGATGGGCAAAGCAATCGAACCCCCAAACCATCACCGATGCTAAAACCAGCGTTGATTTCGGGGGCTGGGGGGTACTGAACATCCCCCTCAAGTGTGTGAGGGTTCGAATATGTTGTCCACGCACTGTCCCCCCCGCAGGGATCCCCCGCAGCGCCACCCCCAGCGCCCCCGGCGGCTGTGGGCGGCGGCCCAGCAGGCACCGACCAGGTCGCCATGAGGGAAACGGGTCCTGAGAGGAACGGGTCCTGCGGTTTCTGTCGCTGTTTTTCTGGCCTCGCGGGGCCCTCCACGCGCCCTGGTAGTGTCAGAATACGACTCGGGATGATGCACCGGTCCTGGGGGAAGGCCCTGGGGTCCAGGACTCGTTTCCCTCGGGGCCCGCTCCCTTCTCATGCTGGCCAGGCCACCATGGATCTCCTGACCCACGTCATGCAGCAGCTGGGGCAGCGGGAGGGCCACGTGCTCCTCCTGAGCGACCTCGGGGCGCTGCTCCCTCCGGACCTGCGCAGTCACGTGAAGGAGCGCGGCGGCCTCCGCAGCACGCTCCAGCGGTTCGGCCAGCTCTTCTCGGTCACCGGCAATCCTGGCAAGGAGTGCGTGCAGCTGGACTTCCGCATACGCGGTGGTCTGGCACCAGCGACCGGGCTCGCCGCATCTGGGACCGGCACTGCCGCATCGTCGCCAGCTGCGCGGATCGCGGCTGGAGGTGCTCCCGTCGGCCAACGTCAAGTCGGGCACGTCCCTCTACAGGAGGAGTATTCCAAAATTTTCAAGAATAGTCTGGGGACGATTTTTCATAGTATTTCTGACTACCTTTGAATATTTTTGGGGTTATTTTTCTTCTTTCATCTAGGGGGACACGCCCGACCTGAGGCCAACGCGACGAGAGCGATGGCGACGACTCGGCGCTGCAGCTGCGCGGGCTGCCCTACCGCGCGACCGCGGGGGACGTGCGGGCCTTCCTCGGCCGCCACGCGAAGAACCTGCAGGACGACGCAGGCGGCCAGTCCATCACCCTGGTGATGAACCGCGAGGGGCGCCCGTCGGGCTTCGCCAACGTGCGGCTCAGCTCGCCCCAGGCGGCCCGGGCCGCGCGGGACGAGCTGCACAACAGGCTGATGGAGGTAGCGCCGGACGATGCTGGCCCGAGGGCCACCGCGACAAAGGCGAACCGCTACGTGGAGGTGTTCCTGTTCTCGGAGCGTCCGAGCAAGCCGCGCTCCAAGAAGGATAAGGCGGTCGACATGCTCGCGGAGCAGTCCGCCGAGCCAGGCGTTTGCGGCATCACCGCGGAGCAGGTGTACGCCGAGTGCTGCGCCTACATGTCAACTCCAGGCCGGGGGCAGCTGCTCCTCAGCATGCTGGGCGTGGCCTTGTCGCCAGCCGCTCGGAGCTACCTCAAGAGGACCGACCAGGGCCTCAAGCAGTTCTTGCTGAAGCATCCGCAGGTGCTCGCGGTGGAGGGCGCGAAGGGGCGCGAGAGCATCACGTACCTCCCGACCATGCCCACCCAGTGCAGCGAGCTCAGATACGAGATGGACGGCCACAGCGCGATGGCAGCCTTTCTGCAGGAGTCCGAGCTGGGAGTTTGTCCATGGCCGCCGCCTGATCGGTCGATCTTCGGGGACCTCGGCAGGCGGTGGACATGGACATGTTCGGGCCGGGGGGGCGGGGAATCTGTGATTCCCGGGTCGAGGGTTCACTGCCCCCGCCCCTGATGAGATGGGCCCTAGGGTTCCACAGCCCCCCCCCAACCCCCAGATAGGATGGGGGGGCGACGACGACGCAGACGCCGACGCCGACGCCAACGCCGAATGACGCCGACGCCGACGCCGCCGACGACGACGACGATGACGACGACGGCGACGCAGAGACAGACGCAGATGCAGAGGCCGACGCCGACGACGCCGACGCCGGAAGACGACGACGGAGGCCGACGCCGACGACACCGCCGCCGCCGCCGCCGACGACGACGATGACGACGATGACGACGACGACGACGACGACGACGACGACGACGACGACAGAAGACGACGACGACGACGCTGACGACGACGACGACGCCGACGACGACGACGCCGACGAACCACCCCACACCCACGGCGGGGGGGGGAGCGATCCCGCGGGGGGGGGAGCGATCCCACTCGCCTTCGCGAGGCTCACGGGCGAAACGTATGTCAGGCGATCGCTGGGCCCCCCCGGCGGCGCCTCCGGCGCCGCCCCTGGCGCGCTCCGCGCGCCAGGCAGGGGGGGTCCAGCGCAGATCCCGGACTTTCGCGCGGAGCGCCAAAAGTTGATGATCATGTCGTTTTTCTTCCTCTCTCACAGGCCAGGCGATCGCAAACACGGATCAAGGGGGCGTGGATTAGCGACGGGTCCCATTTCCACGGGAAGTCGCGGGCTTCCCGCCGCCGAACGAGGCGGCACCGGCCGCATTTGGGGATGTACCTCCCCCGATCCATGGATGCGGCGACCGCGCGCCACATCCATGGATCGCTAATCCATGTTTGCGCGCCCCCGAGCACGGCTGGGGAGGGGGGGCTCGATCCCATATGCATGGGGAGGGGGGGGGGCGCCACCTTAAACCGAAGGTCCATACCCACCGCCTGCCGAGGTTCCCGAGCAGCAATCCCCAGGCGGTGGTCAGGGGCGCAATCGACGTCGCCCGAACGTGTTTGCGCTGTGGAAACGTCGCCCCCAGAAGAGCGGCGAGCGGGCCCTCTCTAAGACATCTTATCGTCCGTGTCCGGTGTCGGGCGCTGTTCGGCCATGCCGCTGGGGTGACGACCTGTGTTCAGGCTGCTAGCTGCTAGTATGATACGATCTGAGCTGGCGGCACGCTCCCAAGGAGGGCACGTGGTACCAGTAAATCCGTCCGCGCTCCCAAACCCCTGCTCCGCAAGGAGGCGTACTGGACGTCGCAGCAGCAGCAGCCGACGGAGCGCGCGCACGCGCTGGAGTGCGGCAGCCCCGGCGGCCTGCAGGCCCACCAGCGGGCGCCCGAGCGCGCGCACGAGAGCGACGGCATCAAAGACCTCCAGCAGGAGCTCTCTCCGTGAAGCACTTGATGGGATGCTGCATCTCCCAAGCTGTCCGCCGCCTCGCGGTGTGCGTGCGGCGGACGCGGCGGAAAGCTTGAGCGATCCATCCCACAAAACGCATCCGCGGCCTGCAGGCCCACCAGCGGGCGCCCGAGCGCACATACGAGAGCGGCAGCATCAAAGACCTCCAGCAGGAGCTCGCCATGAAGCAAACGTGTCCTGAGCCGAGGAACCAAAAAGTCAAGTAAACGTAAACTTTCGGGGCTCCGCGCGGATTTCTGGGATCGGCGTTGGCCCCCCCCCTGGCGGCGCCTCGGGCGCCGCCCCTGGTGCGCTCCGCGCGCCAGGGAGGGGTTGTTTCCGCCTTGCTGTTCGTTCCTCTGCAGAGCAACGGGTGCTGAGGTGTTCCGCCCTTGTGGAGCTCCGTGGGCCCTCTTCACGGGCCCCGGGCCCGTCGAACAGCTGTTCGCCTTGGGGAGGGCCCCGGGGCCCAGGACCCATCTCCCTCCGGACCTTCTTGCCTCATGCCCAGGAGCGCCTCCTTGCCAGCCCGACGGCGCCCGCGCCCGCGCGCGCGCACGGGACACCGGTGCGGGGGACTCCCGGCTCGTCCGAGGCGGCGCCGAAGTGGTTCGAGAAGACGCCCAGCATCTGGGGCGACTCCCCGGCCGTGGCCCCGTGCACGACGGGAGCACGTGCTTGGCAGCCGCCGGCCCTGCTGCCAGAGCTGGGGGGCGACGCTGCCCTGCACGGGGCCGCCCCTCGTCGTGGGCGGTGAACATATACGGTGGGGGCGTTCGTTCGGGAGTGTGCCCAGGATGCTTCAGACCCTGGAGGATTGCTTGTGGCATCCATGGCCAATCCACGATTGGACTTCCAGCAGGAGGACGAGGACGAGGAGGAGGTGGAGGAGGAGGAGGAGGATGAAGGGAGGAGGAGGAAGGAGGAGGAGGAGCAGGAGGAGGAGGAGGAGGAGGAGGAGGAGGAGGAGGAGGGAGGAGGAGGAGGAGGAGGAGGTTCCAGACCCTGGATTCCTCACCCACTGGTTCCGTATCCAATGCCCTCACCGTATCCACGTCGACGCCTGCGCGGGCCGGGCCCCTGGGCCGCGACCCCATGGATGCGGGGCGTGTTTTCGCGGGTGCCCCGCGCGGAACGTACCCCTGCGACCGCGTGTCCACGAGACCGCGCCCCGGAACCCAGATCGCTATGGCGTGGATCTGTATCTGCTCACCGCTCGCGACCGCAGGCCGGCATGCCCGCCGGGGGCGCCTTCGAGGGCCTGGGCCCGTTCAAGTTTGGCCTCCCGTCTGCGCCGTGGGCGCTGTCACAGCCAGCGGGGTTCCTGCCGCAGTACGACTGCTTCCATGAGGCCCCTTTTGACCGCCCTCTGGGACGCATGAGCTAACTGACTTGAAGGCTTCTACCGCATGCAAGTTTCCGTGTTCGTTCATAGAGATCGGAAGCGTCTTTCTTGGGCACATACACACAAGACAAAGAAACGCCCTTCAGGCTCCGCCGTCGCCCTGGACGGGCCACGCCGCGGAGATAGCGCAGGCCCTGACCGACCACTCCGCATGGCTGCACCAGAACCCCTACGGCAGAGGGAAACAATCAATTAGTGGACACTCCCCCTCTCCCCCAACCCTCGAAGTTGGCACGCGCGGGGGAGACTGCGGTCGAAGTGCAACCCATCGGACCCACCGCCAACTTTGAACATCGGGGGATGGGGGAGGCGTTGACCGATGAATGCGGCATGCCTGTGCGCTATTTTTTGTCCGAGGCTCGTACCTGGGGTGCCACACGGGGCTGACGATGCCCGGCGCCGGTGAAGGCGCCGCGCCCGGGGCGGAGCCAGCCGAGCCCGCTCGCCGCGTGAAGCTGCGCGGGCTGCCGTTCGATTCGACGGATCAGGACGTCTACTGCTTCTTCTCCAAGTACGACGTGGTGGACACAATAGCCTGTGGGCCCGGTGCGGTCCAGCTGCTCACGAAGCCCAACGGCCGGAAGTCGGGCATAGCCATGGTGACGCTGGGCGCCCAGGCAGACGCCCGCAGGGTGCGAGACGTGCTGCAGGGCAAGATGATGGGGACGCGCTACATCGAGGTCTTCGTTGCCACCGAGGGCGAGGAAGAGAAGCTCGAGGCGTCTGGCAAGCAGGCCTCCAAGGCTCACCACCCAGGCCCACCAAACCACCCCAACCCAACCCGAAGGCCTCCATGTGCCCTCCGTTTCCAGTGGGGGGGGGTCGAGGAACATTGGAAAGACGCATGAAACCCGTACAGTGAGCGGCTTGAATAAGGAACACTTACTTTTCAAAAGGGGCTCGGTCGTTCCTTAGGTTTTACATGCGTTATTTACAGTTCCTTATGCGTTATCTATTATTTATCGTTTCTTATGCGTTATTCCTTGGGATGAAGAGGGGCTTCGTTCCTTATTTATCGTTCCTTAGGTCAGGCCGATGACTGTACCTCCCCCGACCCGAAACTCGGGTCAGCTTCGGGTCTTCGGGTTGGATTGGGGTGGTGGTCTGGTCGGTAGCCAAAGGCAGGCAGAGGTGGCAGCGCCGCCGCGGCCGGCTCCAGGGCGCCGCAGCCGCCGCCGCCGCCGCCGCAGCCGCAGCCGTCGCAGCGGCGGGCGCCCGAACCGCCGGCCCCGCAGGGGGCGCGCCCGCCGCGCTGCTGCGTGTCCCCGCCGCGCAGCCCCGGGCCCGCGGCGGCCGCCTTCGGCACGGGCACCCCGGAGATGCGGCAGCGGGTCAGGTCCGGGGCTCGCGCAGACGTGCTCGCGTCGTAGGACACAAATCCGGCTGCCGCTCTTTTCGGCCCCCCAGGGGGGCCCCTCGCGTCGTAGAACAAAAATCCGGCTGTCGCTCTTTTCGGCCCCCCCAGGGGGGCCCTCTCGCCAGGCCCAGGGACCGTGACAAAACGACGCAGGGTGAAAAACCGGTCCTCGGGAAAGGGTCGGGACTTCCAGGGGCGCCGCACCGAAAAAATCAGGACGTCGCATGTCTGGGTTCGGGGCTCACGTAACTCCAGGCATCCCAGATGGGGTCGGAGCAGATGGAGTCGCAGGATCGTGCCGCATCGCCGATGCGGCTCGATGCGGAGCCCGATTTCTCCACGCCGACGTCTTCGATGCATCGCCAGCGTCGCTGGTGTACATATGGCCAATGCATCGCCGATGCATCGGCGATGCATCGCCGATGTAACGGCGATGCGGCGGTATCCTCCGATCCCATCCACTCGTACACCATCTAGGAGGCCTCTAGTAACGGGGGCAAGCGCTGACGGGGATCAGCCAATCCCCTCTGGCCGACGCAGGTTCGGGGAGCCACGTGGGCGACGCAAAGAAGCGCGGTCGTCTTCACCGACACTGGCGCGTCAGCTTCCCGCGCAGGTTCGGGGAGCCACGTGGGCGACGCAAAGAAGCGCGGTCGTCTTCACCGACACTGGCGCGTCAGCTTCCCGCGTAAGGTCGCACGTGAGCGCCCTCGTTTCAAGTGTGGTGTGCCGCGCGGGCGGCCCGCGTAAGCCACCGTGCAGGGCCGCCGCGTCATCTCACGCGAGACGCGTCGTCGCCCACGTCGGGCCGGTTCCCCTTTTCTGCCCTCCGCTGACCTGGGCCTCCTCCTCCTCCTCCTCCTCCTCCTCCTCCTCCTCCTCCTCCTCCTCCTCCTCCTCTTCGTCGCCTCCTCCCTCCGCCTCCTCCTCCTCCTCCTCCTCCTCCTCCTCCTCCTCCGCTGACCTGGGCCTCGGAGTTGCCAAGGAAGTGGCCAGCCGGGCTTCGCGACAGGGCCCTGGCCGACGGGGGGGTGGGGGGTGACCCAGTGCAGTTCGAGCAGGAGATCGAGTTGAGAACTCATGTGCTCCAAATCTGACTTGTGCGACGAATCCACAAAGTATGCGCGGCCTGCCCGAAGATCAACGGCGCCCTGGCTGGTCTGCGCATTCAGCGATTGTGGCTTTGTCTGGTTGAGCTTCTCTTGCCCCCCGTCTTGCGGCGGCGAGCGAGGGGGGGAAGTGAGAGGGAGAAGGCCTCCTCAGAAGGCGGCGGGACCTCTCAGAAGCCCTCGCGCCTTCTAGGAAGTTGTTCTGTCTTCGGGGAAGGCTTGGAAAACTTCTCAGCAGGCCGGGGGACTTCCGAGCCTTCTGAGAAGGCCTTCTCCTTCTCTCGGGGGCAACGATAGAGGGAGATAGGCATAGGGCATAGGGGGGGTGTGCATCGATCCCCAATCGCCCATTGATCGCCCATACGGGCCCGATAGCCCCAACCTGCCCGGTCTCCGGTGCGAACTCATTACCGGAGGCCCATCGCCGATCTGTCGGCGATGCATCGCCGATTCCAGGTCGATGCTCCCCCCCTATCCCTACCCCCCCCTATCGTTGCCACTCCTTCTCACTTCCCCCCGAGGCTCGCCGCCGAGTCTTCCTCGCCTCCTCCCTCCTCCCCTCCTCCTCCTCCTCCTCCTCCTCCTCCTCCTCCTTCCTTCTCCTCCTCCTCCTCCTCCTCCTCCCTCTCCTCCTCCTCCTCCTCCTCCTCCTCCTCCTCTCCTCCTCCTCTTCGTCGCCTCCCTCCTCCTCCTCCTCCTCCTCCCTCCTCCTCTTCCTCCTCCTCCTCCTCCTCCTCCTCCTCCTCCTCCTCCTCCTCCTCCTCCCTCCTCCTCCTCCTCCTCCTCTCCTCCTCCCCCCCCTCCCCCTCCCTCCTCCTCCTCCTCCTCCTCCTCCTCCTCCCTCCTCCTCCTCCTCCTCCTCCTCCTCCTCCTCCTCCTCCTCCTCCTCGCCCGTCGGCGTCGGGGCGCCGCGGCCTCGCCCGGGCAGTCACTACCACGGGGCTGCAGCTTTAAAAGTCGGGCGCGCCCCTCTGCAGGAGGAACAGATCCAGAAACAGTCAAACCATAGTCCTCGTCCTCCTCCTCCTCCTCCTCCTCCTCCTCCTCCTCCTCCTCTCTCCTCCTCCTCCTCCTCCCTCCTCCTCTCTCCTCTCCTCCTCCTCCTCCTCCTCCTCCTCCTCCTCCTCCTCCTCCTCCTTCTCCTCCTCCTCCTCCAGAAACAGTCAAACCATAGTCTGGGGGCGAATTTCCGATTTTTAATGACCACTTTGGGGTATCTTTTGACTATTTTTTTGGTCGTCCAGCATTCCGCCTGTAGGGGGACACGCTCGACCTAACCACAGCTCCGCCATCGCGCCGGCAGCGACCGCATCGTTCGTGACCCAGCTGGTGGACCATGCGGCAGTCTCTCCCCGCGGGCTGCGGCCTGATCCCCTCCGGCAAAGGGGACCAAAAAGTGGAATCCCTTCGTCTTCGACCCCGCGTTCGCCTGCCCCCCCTCCCCCCAATGTCAGAGTTGGCTTCGGCCTCCCGGAGGCCCCTGGCGCTTCCACTTTGTTTGTCCTCTCACGCCTGTGCTGCCGAATGCTTGGGGCCTACTTTGGAATTGGGGGGAAGGGGGGGCGCGATGTCAAGGGTTCCACTTTTTGGTCCGTCTACGGTCCCTTGCTCTCCGGTTGCGCTTCATGGAAGACATGTTCATAGATCCACGAACAATCGCTGCGTATTGTTCGTAGGTTCGACGAACGAGTCGATTGACCCCCAATCAGAGCTTGCCTCTCTAGGGGTCCTAGCGGATTCACATGGTTAGGTGAGGCATGGCGCCGATTTCCGCGGCACGCCCGGGTGCCCAGGTGCCCGGTAGCCTTCCAACTAGCCCTGTAGCCCTACAGCCTCATAGCCCCCAATAGCCCTGTCCATCGCCGTTTTTCGTAGGTTCGACGAACGAGCCGATTGTGGGGTACACGAGTTTTGTGGTCGATCTCCTGCCCGATCAGTGCTAGGGGAACAAAAAAGTGGCATAAACATAAAAACTCGGAGGTCCGCGCGGATTTCTCGGATCGGCGCTGGCCCCCCCCTCCCTGGCGCGCGGAGCGCGCCAGGAGCGGCGCCGGAGGCGCCGCCGGGGGGCCCCAGCGCCGATCCGAGAAATCCGCGCGGACCTCCGAGTTGTTATGTTTATGTTACTCCGAGAAATCCGAGTTTTTTTTTATGTTAATCCGAGTTTAGAAATCCGCCGATCCGAGAAATCCGAGTTTAGAAATCCGCCGATCCGAGAAATCCGAGAAATCCGAGTTTTTATGTTTATGCCACTTTTTGTTCCCCTGTGATCCGTGCGCCCCCGACAGGTGGAGCGACCTGAGCAGCCCGAGCCCCTTCCCCGACACGGGCGGCACCGGCGGCGCTGCGCCCCCCGCGCCGTGGGAGAAGGCCGCGGCCGCCACGCCGCGGGGCGCGCTCGAGCACCTCCAGGCTCGACTGCGCGTAAGGTTCTGTCGAGCGTGTCCCCCTACAGGGGGATCTTCGACGAAAAATAACAAATACCCCCAAAGTACAACAAAAAGGCAAGAACAACCACAAAAAAGATGCAAAAAGAGTCCCCAGACTATTTTTGGATTATTTTTGATTATTTTGGGGGTATTTTTTATTTTTCGTCGAAAATCCCCCTGTAGGGGGACAGGCCCGACTGAAGCGTAAGGGTGGCCCTTCGCCAGAGTGACCTCCCCAGACCTCCTCGGGTAACGAAAAAATCATGACGGGAGGTCTTTTGCTATTTCTGGCCACTGGGGGCCCTTGCCGGCCCTCGGGACCGTCAAAAAACAATTCAGGATGAAGAACCGGTCCTGGGGAGGGGGTCGAGACCTCCATGGGCCGACGTCATGAAAAATTATGACGTCGGGGGTCGGGGTCTAGTATCGCTTAACCGATCCCCATCCCCATACCCATCCCCATCCCCTTCGAGACCCCCACCAAATTACCGCCCAGTTGGGGATACACCCCTCGAAGCCCGAAGGGAGCGGCCTGTATCCCCATCTAGGGGGATAAATCGGCCAGTGGGGCCCAGGCCACGCCGCTGGGGATAGGGATCGGTTAAACGATACTCAGTAGGGGTTGCCCTTCGCCAGAGTGACCTCTGGAGCAGGCTCACCTCTCAGAAGAAAATGATGCCATAAACACAAACTTTGGGCGCTCCGCGCGGATTTCCTGGACCCGCGCTGGGCCCCCCCCGGCGGCGCGCGGATTTCCTGGACCCGCGCTGGGCCCCCCCGGCGGCGCTGGAGGCGCCGCCCCTGGCGCGCTCCGCGCGCCAGGCAGGGGGGTCCAGCGCAGATCCCAGACATTCGCGCGGAGCGCCAAAAGTTGATGATAATGGCGCTTTTCTTCCTCTCTCTCACAGGTCAGGCGATCGCAAACACGGATCAAGGGGGCGTGGATTGGCGACGGGTCCTGCTTCCATGGGAAGTCGCGGAGTCCCGCCGCCGAACGAGGCGGCACCGGCCGCCTTCTGGGGAGGGCACCTCCCCCGATCCGTGGATGTGGCGACCGCGCGCCAAATCCGTGGATCGCTGGATGCCTGCGCTCCTCCTCCCTCCTTCCTCGCTCCTCCTCCCTCCTTCCTCCTCCTCCTCCTCCTCCTCCTCCTCCTCCTCCTCCTCCTCCTCCTCCTCCTCCTCCTCCTCCTCCTCCTCCGCCTCGAGCTTCCTGGGACAACTGGGGGGGGCTGGGCGCCCCCCCCCGGGGGCGGGTCTGCGGGCCCCCCCCGCGTCGCCCAACACGCCTGGACGTGGCCGCGCCCGCGGCCCCGCGCGCCTCGCAGCCTGGAGGCCACTCCCGCACTCATTGTAGGGGCCGCTCCTCCTCCTCCTCCTCCTCCTCCTCCTCCTCCTCCTCCTCCTCCCCTCCTCCTCCTCCTCCTCCTCTCCTCCCTCCTCCACTCCTCCCTCCTCCTCCTCCTCCTCCTCCTCCTCCTCCTCCTCCTCCTCCTCCTCCCCTCCTCCTCCTCCTCCTCCTCCTCCTCCTCCTCCTTCCTCCTCCTCCTCCTCCTCCTCCTCCTCCTCCTCCTCCTCCTCCTCCTTCCTCCTCCTCCTCCTCCTCCTCCTCCTCCTCCTCCCCCTCCTCCTCCTCCTCCTCCTCCTCCTCCTCCTCCTCCTCCTCCTCCTCGGCCACTCCCGCCTCATGTTATAGGGCCGCTCCCGCGCGCAGCCCGCAGAGGCTCAGCTCCAGACGGCGCTCGCGGCCGGCGCGGGCGACGAGCACCTCCGGAAGTCGCTGCTCGCCAGCATGGAGGAGGCGGGGGCCGCCCCCGATCGCCGGCCCGCGGCGTCGGCCGCTGCGTCGGCCGCGATATGCCGCGAGGGCCCGCGGCGCGAGCCGGGTCGGCCCGAGCTTCGCCGGCCTGCGCCGGGGCCGCCCGCGCGCCGGCCCGCGGCGGTCCGAGCTCGGTGCGGCGAGCCCGATGCCTGTCGGGTCCGAGCTCGGCGCGGCGCGGCGGTGCGAGCTCGACGCGCGGCGGTCCGAGCTCGGCGCGGCGAGCCGGCTCCGCCCTACTTTCGGGGGAAATTCGTGAGTAGGGCTTGGAATTTTTTCGCCTTACTTCTCAGGCCCCGCGGATGCAAATTTCCACCCTACTTTTTGGCTTCTTATAGGTGGATTTCCGACGCAATTGTAAGTCGGAAAAAAAAGCCAAAGTAGGGCGGATCTGGAGTCAGGGCGATGTCTTCGGGCCTCCCAGATGGGCTCGGAGCAGATGGGGTCGGAGGATCGCGCCGCACCGCCGGCACATCGCCGATGCGGCTCGATGTTATGCCCCTGCTCTCTCCGCGCTGGCGTCGCCGCAGAACCGCCAGAGTCGCCGGTGCATCGGCGATGCGGCGCGATCCTCCGACCCCATCTGCTCGGACCCCGTCTACATCCCTCTGCGAAACCTGTAGCAAGTTTTTCCTGCGCCGCGTCGGCCCCTCCAGACCCCAGAATTTCGACGTTGATGCCGAGACACGTGACCTCAAAATGTTCGTCGGCGTCCGCGGACCAGGCCGCGCGCGCAACCGAACATTAAAACACTGGGAGCGAGGGTGATGATGTCTTAACCTACTTTAGCCTTAACCAGAAAGAGCTTCGAGCACCAGTACCGAAACTGCAGGGCTTCCACGTGTCGGGCCCTGGGAGGCGATACTCGTTCGACACCGTTTCGACATTTTTCTGGGGTGCTCGAAATTCTTTCTGGGATGTGGTCCTTCAGGGTGCTCCTCCTCCTCCCCCTCCCCCTCCTCCTCCTCCTCCTCCTCCTCCTCCTCCTCCTCCTCTGGGATTATTTGTGGGATTATTTCTGGGGTACGATGGGAGCAGCATAACTCTGGGCTCTGGGGCGCTCCTCGGGCTCAAAAGACTGGAGAGGCGTGGCCGAGGCCCGCCATGGCCGGCAAGGCCCCATCGTCGCGCTTCTCTCGGCGCCGCTGGTGGCAGCGCGGGGAGGGCACCTCGGCGGCGAGCCCAGAGGGGGAACCCGCCTTCTCGGCAGGGGAAGCAGAGGGGGAAACCCCGAGAGAGAGAAGCCGCCCTCGCAGAAGGCCCGGAGGGGCCGGCCTTCCTACCCCGCAGACAGAGGGTGGCGCTGCCCAGGAGGCTTCAAACATTGAACATGCAAGAGACGCGGTAGGATGGGAGCAACATATAACCCAGACGTCCGACGTCTCGATTCTTTCGAGACACGGGGCCCCCGACCTCCCGACCACTTCGCCAGGACCGGTTTCTCGTCCCGAGTCGTTTCTTGACGGCCCCGAGGCCCGGCGAGGGCCTCGAGAGGCCGAAAACCACATAAAACCGCCGTCTCGATTTTTTCGAGACGCCCGATGTCTGGGAAAACCGAACAGGAGGAGGAGGAGGAGGAGGAGGAGGAGGAGGAGGAGGAGGCGGAGGAGGAGGAGGCAGAGGCGGAGGCGGAGGAGGCGGAGGCGGAGGAGAGAGGCGGAGGAGGAGGAGGCGGAGGCGGAGGCGGAGGAGGAGGAGGAGGAGGCGGAGGAGGAGGAGGAGTAAGCAACTGGGGGCGAGGGCTGGTCGGCAGAGCTCGCGCCCTGCGCTTCGCGGGGCGCGGAGGGAGGCCTCGGCCCTCGTGCGGCCAGGCATGCCAGCCCTCCTCCTCCTCCTCCTCCTCTCTCCTCCTCCTCCTCCTCCTCCTCCTCCTCCTCCTCCTCCTCCTCCTCCTCCTCTCGGCCGTCGCTTCGTCGTCTTCCTCTCTCCGCCTGCGTGGTGACACGATTCGCTCAACGGCAGCCTTTTTCCGCTTTCTCGCCAGCGCATTGGCTCTGCCAAGCCGCCGACGAACCAAAAACAGTTTGTATCCAGCGCGTGGCCTCAAGATGTTCCACGTGCGAGGCGTTCCAGGAAGGGCCTGCGGCCCTGCCGGCGGGAGCAGACGGAAGGCTGGCGGAAGAGCGAAGTACAACATGCGTCTTCAAGAGATGCCAGTCTTTCTTGTCGGGAGTGGGAACGTCTACAGTACCAGCGGCAGACTGCTCTTCAATCCCAGGGCTTTTGAGGGTCGGGGGCGACGTCGGGGTGGTGTGGCGTATACTTTTCGTCCTCTTCCTAAGGGAAACAACAGAACATGCATACACCAGGATCCCTGCACACCAGGATCCGCTTTCCTGTTTGCAAGCTTCAGCGCATGGCCGGAAACGGCGTCGGTGTGTATGTATTTATATTTAGTGAGAGAGAGAGAGAGAGAGAGAGAGAGAAAAAAAAAAAAGAGAGAGAGAGAGAGATACGGCTCCCTATTTTGTGTTCAGGGTTTCTGAAAGCCGCCACGTGAATACAGCCACGCGTGTCTCCAGCTTCCAGCCCCTCGCGGAGGAGGGGGAGAAGGAGGGGGACTGGGAGGACGAGGGGGAGGAGGAGGAGGAGGAGGAGGAGGACGAGGGGGAGGAGGAGGAGGAGGAGGAGGAGGAGGAGGAGGAGGAGGAGGAGGAGGAGGGGAGGCAGGAGCAGGAGGAGCAGGGCAGGAGGAGCAGGAGGGGGAGCAGGTTGGAGGGGAGCAGGAGGGTGAGAGGGGGAGCAGGAGGAGGGGGAGGGGGAGGGGGAGGGGGGGGAGGAGGAGGAAGGAGGATGGAGGAGGAGGAGGAGGAGGAGGAGGAGGAGGAGGAGGAGAGGAGGGACGAGGACGAGAGGAGGAGGAGAAGGAGGGAGGAGGAGGACAACGAGAAGGAGGTAGGAGGAGGAGGAGGAGGTGGAGGGTGAAGGAGGAGGGGGAGGAGAGGAGACGGAGGAGGAGGAGGAGGACGGAGGGGAGGAAGGAGGAGGAGGAGGAGGAGGAGGATGGAGGAGGAGGAGGAGGAGGAGGAGGAGGGAAGGGGGCGTGGAGGAGGTAGGAGGAGGGAGGAGGAGGAGGAAGGAGGAGGAGGAGGAAGAGGAGGGACGGGGGGACGAGGAGGAGGAGGAGGAGGAGGCTGAGGAGGGGCGGGGATAGGAGAAGGAAGGGAGGAGGAGGACAACGAGAAGGATGTGGGAGAGGAGGAGGGAGGAGGAGGAGGAGGAGGGGAGGAGAGGAGGAGGAGGGAGGATGAGGAGGAGGAGGAAGGAGGAGGGGGAGGATGGGGAGGATGGGGAGGAGGAGGAGGAGAGGAGGAGGAGGAGGAGGTGGGAGGAGGAGGGAGGAGGAGGAGAAGAGGAGCAGGTACAGGAGGAGGAGGAGGACGGAGGAGGGGTGGAGGAGGAGGAGGAGGAGGTAGGAGGAGGAGCGGAGCAGGTGCAGGAGGAGGAGCAGGAGCAGGAGGAGGAGGAGGAGGGGAGGAGGTGGGAGGAGGAAGGAGGGGAGGGGGGAGGAAGGAGGAGCGGAGGAGGGGAGGAGGAGGGCGGAGGAGGCGGAGGAGGGAAGGAGGTGGCACAGCGAGGAGGACGAGGAGGAGGAGGAGGAGGAGGAGGAGGAGTAGGAGGAGGAGGATGAGGAGGAGGAGGAGGAGGAGGAGGAGGAGGGGGGGCCCACCGCGCCGAAGCAAGAACACCGCGCGGACCTCCCCGAGAGTCTGTGCTGCTTCTATGGTGTGCGGCCGGCCGCTGCCGTGGCCGCCTCCGTCGTCGTCGCCGTCGCCGTCGTCGTTGTCGTCGCCGCCGTCGTCGTCGTCTTCGTCGTCGTCGTCGTCCTCGTCGTCCTTGTCGGCGCCCTCGTCGTCGTCATCGTCGTCGTCGTAGTCGTCGTCGTCGCCCTCATCGTCGTCGTCGTCATCGTCATTGTCGTCGTCGGCATCCTCGTCGCCGTGGTCGTCGACGTCGTTTTTGTTCGTCCTCGTCGTCGTCCTCGTCGTCGTCGTCGTCGTCGCCCTCGTTGTCGTCGTCCTCGTCGTCGCCCTCGTCGTCGTCGTTGCTTTCGTCGTCGTCGTCATCATCGTCGTCGCCCTCGTCGTCGTCGTCGTCGTCGTCGTCTTTGTCCTCGTCGTCGCCCTAGTCCTCCTCCTCGTCGCCCTCGTCGTCGTCGTCGTCGTCGTAATCGTCGTCGCCCTCGTCGTCGTCGTCGTCGCCGTCAGCGTCCTCGTCTTCGTCCTCGTCCTCGTCGTCGCCCTCGTCGTCATCGTCGCCCTCGTCGTCGTCGTGGTCGCCCTCGTCGCCATAGTGGTCGTCGTCGTCGCCCTCGTCGTCCTCGTGTCGCCCTCGTCGTCGTAGTCGTGGTCGTCGTCGTCGCGCCCTCGTCGTCCTCGTTCGTCGCCCTCGTCGTCGTCATCGTAGTCGTCATCGTCGTCGTCATCGTTGTGGGCGTCCCTTTCGCGCCATCGTTAGACCCGTCGTCCTTGTCGTCGCCCTCGTCCTCGTCGTCGTCGTCGTGGTCGCCCTCGTCGTCCTTGTCGTCGCCCTCGTCGTCGTCATCGTCGTCGTCGCCCTCGGCGTCCTTGTCGTCGCCCTCGTCGTCTTCGCCGTCGTCGTCGTCGTCGCCCTCGTCGTTCTTGTCGTCGCCCTCGTCGTCCTCGTCGTCGTCGTTGTCGTCGTGGTCGCCCCCGTCGTCCTTGTCGTCGCCATCGTCGTTGTCGTTGTCCTCGTCGTGGTCGTCGTCGTCGTTGTCCTGTCGTCGCCCTCGGCGTCCTTGTCGTTGGCCTCGTCGTCGTCGTCGTCGTCGCCCCCGTCGTCCTTGTCGTCGCCCGTCGTCCTCGTCGTCATCGTTGTCGTCGTCGTCGTCGTGGTCGCCGTCGTCGTCCTTGTCGTCGCCCTCGTCGTCGTCGTCGTCGCCGTCGTGGTCGTCGCCCTCGTCGTCGTCCTTGTCGTCGCCCTCGTCGTCATCGTCGTCGTCCTCGTCGTCGTCGTCTCCCTC